CACATTCAGTATTATCTTGGCTGTGGGTTTGTCATATATGGCTTGTATCATTTTTGGGTAAGTCCCATCTATGCCTATTTTGACGAGTGTTCTTATCATAAAAGGGTGTTGAATTTTGTCAAATGATTTTTCTGCATCTATTGAGAGGATCATATGGTCTTTATTTTTGCTTCTGTTTATATGGTGAATTACATTTATAGATTTGTGTATGTTGAACCATCCCTGCATCCCTGGGATGAAGCCCACTTGGTTGTGATGGATTATTTTCTTGACAAGCACCTGGATTTGATTGGCTAGGATTTTGTTGAGAATTTTTGCATCTATATTCATAAGAGATATTGGTCTGTAGTTTTCTTTTTTTCTTGTTGCATCCTTTCCTGGTTTTGGTATCAGGGTTATGTTCACTTCATAAAATGTGTTGGGGAGGTTTCCATCTGTCTTGATGTTGTGGAATAATTTCTGCTAGATAGGCACCAGTTCTTCTTTGTAGGTGTGGTAAAATTTGGGTATGAAACCATCTGGTCCAGGACTTTTCTTTTTAGGAAGGTTTTTTATTGTTGTTTCAATTTCAGTACTTGATATTGGTCTATTCAGGAATTCTCTTTCTTCCTGGTTGAACCTAAGGAGGCTGTGTGTTTCTAAGAAATTTTTGAAAATATTCTCTGTTGTAGAGGGTTTGGAGAAACATGCATTCTTATATATTGTTGGTAGAAATGCATAATGGTATGGCTCCTATGGAGGGATTCTAGCAATATTATGTCTCTACCTTTTAATCAAATAATCCCACTTCTAGGAATCTATTCCAGGAAACTATGCTACATCTACACAATGAAATATTTTATAGCTACTAAAAGAGATAAAAGACTAACTTAATACTGCTAAGGAGTAACCTTTAGGACATATCATTAAGTGAAAGAGCATAAGTGAATATTAGAATGTATAATATTCTCTCTTTTATTTAAGAAAAGTGGCTATGCATTTAATATTTAACATATTAATATTTAACACATTAATACATTATCCTAAGAGTAGGATAGTAAACAAAAAATTCATAAAAGTGGTTAATTAAGGAGGGAGAAAAGAGTGGAAACAACAGGCTTAAAAACTAGGTTTTTCTTAATGTTCTTTGTTTTACACATTTAAAAACACACACATATTTCACAAAATTATATAAAGAAATCAATCCCTTAATTCAAAAGTAAAATTATATAATCAACTTATCTGTATACTAACTGCAAAGAAAGAAATTATTTGAAGATATTTAACTCCTGTTATTTGGTTGTATATTTGCAGTGGGATATATCCTAAGGACAAAAGGAACTGCAACCAAATATTAAATTCCTTCAGTAATTATATTGTTAATATTAATAACACAGTAGTATAGCTATTTTGAAATTTTTCTTACATAAATAAGGATAAAGCACATAATAATTATATTAATGCCTTAAGGAATCAAGTTTTATGACATGAGAGAAAAAAAACCTGTCATCTTAAACTTGAATTGGAAATATCAGTATAAAATCTTGATGTATTTCTCTTAAAAAATATTTCCTGCCTTCATCCACTGAAAAGGCTTAGAACTAATGATGAACCCAAGAGCAAGGAGCTTCTCAGCTGTCCATACTGCAGTCTCCAAATACCTTTTTTACTGAAAGGAACCGGAGCACCTTGGCAAAAAAATGGGAAAAAAAATGGTTGATTCCAGGCTGGGCTGGGAAATGTTCAAGATGAGCTTGTAACATCTCATTATATCAGAAAGCAAGGAAGCTATCAAAGACAACTTAGGCTGTGGCAAAAGATTCGAACCACATGGGCGCCAACATGGAAAGCCTCCCATTGGCCAAAGATGGAGCAATCATATCCAAAGATGGATATAAAACAATAATACCTACAATTGATTGAAATGTAAAATATGTCAAAATCCTTACATTCATAGCAATATTTGAAAAGCTTACATGCTCCCTGGCATTTGTAGGATGTCAGGGAGCCAACTTATTATTCTGAAAACTGATAAATAAAGGTAAAGAATCAAGCTTTTATCCCCCCTTTCCAGGTAGAGCTATACCTTGGGGGAACCAAATAGTTGAGGAAGTAAACTTTTTCTGTGTTTTAGAAGAATTGAATTACTACATGAAGAATGCATTAGAAGGAGTTAGAATACCACCACTTCACAACCGTTAATCAAAACAGTAGGTCATCAATGACTGCTAAAACCATTAAGCATGAAGCTGAAGGAAACTTTGTAATGAATGGATGAAACTGGCCTTATCTACCTCCAGTGGTTAATACCAACATCACAAAAAAAGAGAGACCAGACGTCATGTACCTCTTGATATGATGCAACGGAGAAGGACACAGCATACCTCCTGATCTATTACCACCCAAACCTCCTAGCCTGAATCTAAGCCCGCCTCTAGATCTTACTACCAAGATATAGAAAGTACAAAGGGCAAATGAATCTATTAAGAATCATCATGGAGATGCAACCAATAACATCCAGAATATAGAAAACACAATCCAGGTTTTTCAACAAACAAATTGCAAGAAAATAAAAGAGGGAGGGATAACATATAGGTAAACAGATGTAAGAGACATGGCCCCAGAAACAACATAGGAGCCTTGCTTGCTTTCTGATTCAAGCACACCAATGGTATATATTCGAAATTTTTCCCTAATAAAAAATAAATTTTGACTGATTGTATGTGTTTATAGATGGACATTACTGTGGGCTCTTTAGTAGCTGGAGGTGGTGGTGCCTCTTTGCTGATATATCTTTGGAATACGTGTTGAAATCCATGCATGTCTGAGCTTTAGACTCTAAGGGAGTGTAAATTGCTAGGATACGTGTATGTTTCTAGTTTGCATAATCATGCAGTTTTCTTTACATCCCCCTCCAATTTAAAAGCTCTCTGAAGGCAATGGCTAAATTAATTGCTTGCTTTCTGTTAAAATCATCTTTAGAAAGTGTTGTGCTGAGTCACTGCTTTGGGTTGATGGACGGAAGCCTGGTAGTGGTTGACCTTCTGCCAAATTCAGAGGCAGGTGAAATTGAGCTCCATCCCATCTAGACCCCATGGTAGGTGTTTTCCTCCTCCGTCTGTGATAGCCTCTTCAGTCTTATCAAAATTTTCTGCTGGAAAAGATCCCCCATTAACTATTTAAAACTGAGTATGGGATTGTTAGTGTAACCTTTCTCACAGGTATTTGTTTTGTGATTGTTATCAATAATTGAGAAATGAAAAGCTGTTGTATCCTATTATGGAAATTACAGAACAAGAAGTGGTGGATTTGGGGCTGGGAGACCTTCCCAGCATCCCATTGCATCAATTTACCTCCTGCAACTGCTCATGAAGCTGAGGGCCATGCCAAGTCAGAGGTGCAGAAATTCTGAGACGCACCCTGGCTTCGGGGTATGCAACAATGGTGGGTGGTTGTTTAACTTTTACTTCTTATGATAAGGCTCATTCTTGGACACTTTCTCAGGTGTGTCATACTTGCATCTAGGCAACTGAGAGGAAAGAGTTCCAATGCTCATGGTAATCTGAAATAAAATCATTCTTATTAAATCTTAAAACAGATTAAATTAACTTGAACATATTTTATAACCCTGTACCACTTGTGAGAGAGGGAAAAAAAACCTTTCCCTCTGCCCTCTTAGGTTTAGTAGCTGGAGCATAACAAATAAACTGGCAAAAGGTAGATTAATAAGAGAAATGGGACGGGCGCGGTGGCTCACACCTGTAATACTAACACTCTGGGAGGCCGAGGCAAGAGGATCGCTCAAGGTCAGGAGTTCGAGACCAGCCTGAGCAAGAGCAAGACCCCGTCTCTACTGAAAATAGAAAGAAATTAATTGGCCAACTAAAAATATATGGAAAAAAATTAGCCAGGCATGGTGGTGCATGCCTGTAGTCTCAGCTACTCGGGAGGCTGAGGCAGAAGGATTGCTTGAGCCTAGGAGTTTGAGGTTGCTGTGAGCTGGGCTGATGCCACGACACTCTAGCCTGCACAACAGAGTGAGACTCTGTCTCGAAAAAAAAAGAATAAGAGAAATGGCTTATAAATTTTATTGATGTGAATGTTTTTATGGGCATAGGAGTTTCACAGAAAAAAAAGTGAAAACACAAGTAAATGGTTAGACTCTGGAGCTTACATACTATTTTAACAAAGAGTATTATGTATGGGAAAGTGACTAGGAAAAGAAAAGAGGGTTTGGGCTTTTAGGACTGATAAATTGTAGAAAAGTGAGTAGAAAATATAGGGGGAAAACTAATGAAAGAGAGGGGTATGCTATGTTTATGCAGACTCAGCCCTGTGTCAGCTTCCCAGTAATAAAGGTTGCTCTTATCCTGGCACAGGAGGGCATTGGGGAATTCACTTTCACAAAAGGAAATGTATGCCCTGCTTTTGTGCAGATTTAGCAGTGGGGGGATGCAGACAGAGAACTTTTCCTGCATCCATTGATCCACAATTGCCTTCAGCTCAAAATACTGCTTGTGCCAAAGCGGCATATTTTGGGGTGGCTATTCTGGACCCCTTCGCCCTCATCTGGTGACCAGGAATAGAAGCATTCCTCTTATACTGTAGGAAAAATTATTTTCTCTGAAAAACTCAATTCCTTTTATGGTACAATTGACCAAGCTAAAACAGCATGTAGGTTTCCGTGCTACTCCATGCATCTTCCCCCCTGTATCTTCTACTCCGGAGGAAAAAAAAAAAAATTCTTCTAAACCATCATCTTAAGAGTGTGCTACACATCAGAGAGATCGGAGCTGCTGCTGGCTCAGAACATCTGGCTCCAAAAATGCTAACCCGCCTGTCACCAGCAACTCAGCTACTCTGCACTTGGTACTTTGCATGAGCCTTTAAGATGAATCAGTGAAAATATGTTATTATAATCATCTTGCTTTCTTTCAAAACTTTGGGAACAAATTGGATACATGGTTTTCCCACCCACAGTCCTCAATAATCATCTTTTTCTGCCTATTTTTATTTTTCAGAGACTTCTGGGAGACTTAAAAGGGTGACTTCTTAAACATGATATGAATAGCAGCTGAAAAAAATTGATGATAGTTGGATGTGGGTATGTTCACCATTTTGTTCTCCACCAGATTTTATGCCTGTTGTTGTGACAGAGAAGAAAATTAGCAGCTCACTTGTTCTAGTGATTTTAGGATGTTGCATGGGCACTAAAGGCTGGATCTTCCATGATTTCTTTTTATTGACTGTAAAATATTCTGAAAATCATGGTAAATTGATGGCATTAACGTTGTGCTATTTCATACAAAAATAAGCATCCAAAGAAAAAGTTTTGTGGTTTAATAGGCTTTAATATTTTTTTCTCATTTTTATTTTATTGCTCTTTTAGCACATGCTCGAATTCTTTCCTTTTCTATGAACGTAATGTACCTTTTACCGCAGAGATTGGCCCTGGTTATTATGATCTGCTTCCCATTCGAGTGAAATCATTGGGTCTTAGAGTTTCCATTTGTTTTCACATTGTTATTAGAAGACAAATGCTTGCTTTTGAACTGTATAATATTTTCTACACCTAATTAATTTGTTTTCTTACTTATAAATGACATTTTATAATTATATACTTTAAAATATTGAAAGACAGCAATTTGGATGTTATAGTCTTATATCATTCATTATTGGTTATGAGGGGATGTTTACAAATTTAGCCAAGATACCTCCGCCCAAGTAATTGGAAAATTTTTTTTTCTATTTTTGAGCACCTTTTATGCTACAGGAAGTAGGACTGTTTCAAGTTAGCACCTATCTGCCTGGGTTCTGGTAAGAGAATAAAATAGATTGGCTATCGTCTCAGGCACATGTGAGAAATAAGATGAACTTCAGGAAGGAAGGAAAGGAAGGAAGGAAGAAGAAAGAAAAGGAAGAAAGGAAGGAAGGGAGGGAGGGAGAAAGGAAGGAAGGAAAGAAAAACTAAAGGAGGAAAAACAAAAATAACTAAGGAAAGAAAGGGCTGCTGTCCTTTTAGTGATATTCATCAAAGTCTATTAGGGAAACCTTCATTCAGAAGAACATATTTGTTTTCAAAAATTATTTTTTAGGAAATGGAGGCAAAATGGAGTGCCACTTGGCCTTACTGGCTTTCTTAAGTTGTTTTCTCTTTTTATTTCCAGTCAATGTGAAGCGTTAACTATGAAAGGAAGGCAGAAGGAAAAACTTACGACAATTCAGTATGGACTTTGTTTCTGGTAAGCAGTAGATTAGGAGTAAACCAGACAGGTATAATTGATGACTTATCTCTTATAAAATTTTGAGGCCACAGAACCATAAACTGATAGTTCCAGAAAAATAATGCATAGTTGCAAACCAGCAAAAACACTTTAAACTACTCCAGGTAAAGAAAAGATGCCAACTCTTGAGGTAGCCTTGGTGGCCATGTTTAAAACCTAATGAGGAAGTGATATTGGCAGGCATTGCAAAGCAGATTGGATTAGATTGCCATCTTCGATTCTGATGAAAATGATAAATTCAAAAGTAACAATTAGATTAATGTTCGTGTTCTTTAAGAAAACCATTATTTATTAGGATTTTAGGCTATCGTTTCTTTAAAAGTTTTTAGTGTGCTTATGTAACTAAAAATCCTTTCAAGAATTTTGGAAATGGCCAGTATGCACTGAAATATCGATCTCTTAGTGCACCATTAGCTACTGCCCAGCTTGCAAATAAGCCATATGGAAGCATTACACAATTTGGTTTTTTTGAATCTGGAGTCTCTGCGATAGCATTACCAGATAAAATATAGAATGTCCAGTTGAAATTTAATATTTGATAAGTTACAAATAATTTTTTAGTGTAAGTGTGTCCAAATGTTGCTTGGGATATACCAAAAAATTAGCCATTAGTGCTCTGAAATTAAATGTAACTGGGTGCCCTGTATTTTTATTTACTAAATCCAGAGTAACTGTATTCTGGAAAAGTCAAGTGGGATATTAATTATTTCGTCCTTTGGAAAATACTTGCTTTCCTGGAATTGACTGCGGCTCCACACCTCTGCAAACTCTGTTTTTGTGATTTTAATCGCTCTGTGATAACTTCTTTTAGCCTACTCACCATCCTTGACTGGATGGCACACCTGTCTGTAACGTGGCTTCTCCAACTTTAATGTGTGTGCAAGTCACTCAGGTGTCTTGTTAAAGCCCTGATTCTGATTCGGTGCTTCTCAGGATAGGGCCGGAGAATCTGCATTTTAACAACTGCCAGGCACCAAGAATGCCGCTGACCTTCGAACCACACTGGGAGTGAAGCGTCTAGACCCAAGTTCTCATTTTCAACTAACCGTAAATAAAACTATAAAACTATCATAAAAGATGTTTTTTTTTTTATACTTCTTTCATTTTTGTGGATTCTTCATACTTTTTCTCTCTCTTTTTTTTAGCCAGAGAAAATGCTAAATGTTATGCCTTTCATTAATGGAAGAAAACTGTATTATTAGGCTGTGAGAAAGTTCTGGAAAAGCACATGTGGTTTATTCCAGGAACTGGTCATTAGATTGCTCATTCTTTCATATTTCTGGAAGGACCAGAAGCGTCATTAGAAAAATCACATGATCAGACTTGGTGAACAGGCCATCCCAGGAGCCAAGTCCTAAAACGTGTCTGTTACTAAGCATGAAAACCCTGTTCACAGTGATGTTTTTCATAACACGGAACCTGGTGAGGGAAGAGCATGTTGAAATGATTTCAGCATCTGCCTAAAAGGGCTCAAACAGTCCTTTTAAAATGAAAATCCCAGATTAATTGCGGGGGATTTTTGTTGTCGTATATTTTGAGCCTTAGAATGGCACGACCCTGATGAAGAAGGGGGGTGGCGCTTGTCCACGAGGACAGCACTTGTTTTTCCCAGTGTCCTGGCCCAATGCTCATCACCTGGCCAACGAGGGGTGGGTTTCTCGCCTGCAGCAGATGAAAAACACCCTGGGATTAAATCAGCCCGGTGTGGGAAGCATCCTGTCTGCTGGTGACCCCCAAGGCTGCTGAGCTGAGATCCCGGCTGCCAAAGATGTGTTGACAAGAGTGCGTGTCTGCTTCTTCTCCCAGTGTCTGATGTGGCTTCGGTGTCAGACGCAGGGCAGACAGGCAGGGGGGGAAGCTGGCACGGGGGAACAGGGGACGGGAAAAACTGCTAGACAACTTCTCTGGCAGAAGCTTAGCTGTTAAAACTTTTGCTGTCGGAGGGAATTTTTAAGAAATGGAGCCGGCGAAATGATGAATTGGAAACGTGTTTCCTTTGAGAGAATTGAACGCCGTCTCCTTAGAGACTCTTGAGACTGGGATTCCGATGGTTTGAGGTCCCCCCTTCTCACTGTGTCCTGAGACCTGACTAGGAATGACCTGTCATTGCTCGGAACACACAGAAGCCCATGCAGTAGGGGAAAATGTGCAAAAGGAGCAGTTAAACAGTCATCTCCAAGGCTAGACGATAGTGTTGCATCAATAATCGCTTCCTGATTTTGATAAGGGCACTCAGAGATATCCTTCTTAGGAAATGCACGCTTAGTAAAGAAGCATCTTGTCTGTAATTTACTCTCAAATGATTCATAAGATAGAAAATGACAAAGCAAAAATGATAAAATCTTAATACTTGGGAAATCTGGTGAAGATACGAAGGAGTTCTTTGTTGTATTTTTATAATGTTTTTGTAAGTTTGAAATTATTTCTAAATAAAAAGTTCTCTCTCTCTTTTTTGTTTAAGTAATAATGTCTCCATAGAGTAGAGCTTGCTGTCTACCCTGGTCCCTGTACCATCTCCCCCTGGAATGTATTTTTGTCTACACAGTCAACCCTGAGCGGAAGCTGCCTTGTTTGTCCCCCGGGCTTTGTGTTACAGTTCCCGGGGCCAGCCTGTAAGACCCTGGGGGCAGAGGCTAACTCTTGGAGTCTCATAACCTAGCACAAAGAAAGCAAGCAATAAGCATTCAATTTTTTTTTTGATTATGCTCAACCAATCTTTTTTTTTAGTTGTGGTTTGTTTATGGGGAAAAAAAATTCTGTAGCAACATACGGCTAACAGAATTATCTAAATTAACATGCGTATGTATCTTAGAGGGCAGTACACATACTGTCCACGACTCTATTTCACAGTAGGATTAATTCAAACGTCTCCTGGCGGAGGCTCACTAACTCCTAGAATGTACACGATTTTCCTGGGTCGAGAATACAGCACGTTCAAAGCAGTTTGATTCCACAAAGTAGAGCTCGGAACCACAGAGAGGATACATGACTGGTTGAAATGAAACACGAAGGAAAAGAAAAAGAATTAACACTTGATTTTTACCTATTTGATGACTTCCCGTGATCCCAAGAAAGACCTTTATTCTCCCTCCTTGCCATATGAGAAAATTTTTGAAAGCTTTTAGTTTCAATTTACCACCAAATTTATTAAATTTTTTCCTTTAAATGCTAAGAAGCTTAAAGTATTTTTAAGTCTATAAAATTAAGTTTCAGATATTCTCTGAAGTGATCTCAATGCAGGGCGATTAATCCTCATACACATTAATACTTGAACGTCTCAAGCCGTCTTCCTCTTTCACCAAGACGGAGGTGATCAAAATCAATCATTTTGGGAATTTTTAATGTCAGAGATCTCTAGAAGCATATAAACTCTCCAAGAAACCAGTGTCTGTGTTTTCTTTGGGGCAGAAAATTTTAGTTTGGTTTAGAGCTGATTTTTTCTTTCAATTGCTAGAGTGTTTATTTAGAGAATTTACTTTTTCCTTTAGAATGTACCATTATTACTGTTATTTTTAAAAATAGTAGTTCACAATTCTTCCTTTAGATCTCGTTAACTTGCTGTTACTTGTATCTACCCTTAATTGTTGGTCGTCGTTTTTTAAGGCACTCTGCTTTACACTTTCTGAGATTTACCGTGAACTCTTAGTCCCTCTTGTTTCTCACTAAGAAAGAGCCTTTTTTTTTTGCTCTAGAGTCCCATGTGCAGTTTTATGTCCCCAGGCAGGAGATGGGAGGGCAGGGCAGCCTTGAGGGCTATTGCTCTGACTCTTTTTATTAGCAGCTCAGATCCAGGCTGGGAGGCAGGGGAGGAGTGGGGAGGGGCTGGAGGATGGGGAGCATTAAATAGCTCTCTGAGTGAGAACAATTAGTGATGTAAGTGTATTCTTGAAAATGAACTGCTTTGGGGCGAGATCACTTACAAGCACCATCATCCCAGCTAAAATCTCCATAAAGAGTTCCGCAGTTCTGAGAAGTCATCTTTAGAGAGGACACTTATTGGAATTCATAGATAGTGTTTCATTTTGTACTCTCTGAAATTAGCTAATGTTCTGGTCACTCCAGAGCCTTTAAAAATGGCCTAGATCCCAAGGGCTTTCCACAGAGAATCTGGCAGTGCATGTGCTACAAATGCGTGGCTATTCGTGATTATTTATTTTAAGTCAGCTTCACCATCAGAATCTTTTGTCTCCCTTTCAACTGGATGTAACAGTTGCCTCTCCTTCATTATCAAAAAATGAGCAACGCTTTCAAAACTACAGTATGGTTTTCTTTACTCCTAATCTTAAAATATAAAATTGAACTTTTTAAAAAGAGCATTTTTCTTCCTCTCATTTACTTGACTTACCAAGTTTAATTTTAATAAACCCAGGAGGGCAGGAAGATAGTGTTTTTTGATAACATACTGACACAGAAGCGGCTGCAATGCTGTTGGTACTTGTTTATATACAGGAAGTATGCGGTTTAGCCCATGAATGTGAGTCGAGATGGGATGGGTTCCTGAGTTTTAAGGAAAAAAATACCATATTTTGCTGAAATACTGACACTTGCACTTTTAATATGATTTAAACTCTTTACTGTAATTATAGTGAAACATAGTATTTTGCAAAATAAAATAAAGCTTCGCACATTTTTCAAAATATTTCAATGATTTGACACTTTATGTAGAAAGAGTTTGCAGTGCTTTTTTGACAGGTAGGAAATGCCACAACCGGTGATAATGATGTCTGCTCAAAGTTTTCAGTGACATCTGAAAGAACTAAAATAGGCTTATGATTTAGCAGGTGCTTTAGATAATATAAGAATCACAAGTTTTTGCAAATCAGTCCATAAAGTACTTTGTCTAAAGCATTTTCAAAATACTTCTTTAAACCCTCCCAAGACATTGAGATATATTCAAATGTTATTGTATTAATTCCATTTTTTTTAATTTTAGCATATTATGGGGGTACAAGTGTTAAGGTTACATATATTGCCCATGCCCCCCCCCCGTGGAGTCAGAGCTTCAAGCGTGACCATCCCCTAAATGTTGCACTTCTTACTCATTGTGTTTGTATATATCCATCCCCTCCTCCCCACTCCCACCTGCCTGACACCTGATTAATGTTATTCCTGTATGTCCACTTAGGTGTTGATCAGCTAATACCAATTTGCTGGTGAGTACATGTGGTGCTTGTTTTTCCATTCTTGAGATACTTCACTTAGTAGAATGGGTTCCAGCTCTATCCGGGAATATACAAGAGATGCTATATCACCATTGTTTCTTAAAGCTGAGTAGTACTCTATGGTATACATATACCATATTTTATTGATCCAAAACCATCCTCATATAGCCAACTAATCTTCGACAAAGCAGACAAAAACATACACTGGGGAAAAGAATTCTTATTCAATAAATAGTGCTGGGAAAACTGGATAGCCACATGTAGAAGACTGAAACAAGACCCACACCTTTCACCTCTCACAAAAATCAACTCACACTGGGTAGCAGACTTGAACCCTAGATATGAAACTATTATAATTCTAGAGGAAAATGTTGGAAATACTCTTCTAGACATTGGCCTAGGCAAAGAATTTATGAAGAAGACCCCAAAGGCAAATCAGAGCAGCAACAAAAATAAACAAATGGGACCTGATAAAATTAAAAAGCTTCTGCACAGCCAAAGAAACTATTAATTCCGTTTTTAATATCGCCACTTTAATTTATGCCTTACACTAGTAGTTCAATAGCTTATTACAAATTGACCTGCAGAGGAAAAGGGCATGGCACGTGAGTACCTGTTTTACAGAGTTACACCTTTCACAAAAAGCCTTGGCTGTGTACAGACAAAACTATGCCACTTCTTGAACCCATCACTGCGGCCTGAGGCATGGAATGTCCTTCTGATTGTTCAGGCTACTGTTAGGACCCACAGAAAGGCGGGAGTAAGTGGGACCAGTTCCAGCCAATGTGCTTGATCTGAGAGTGGGTGAGAGGTGGTTTCCGAAGGAAAACAGTTGCATCACAACAACAACAACAATCAGGAAATGGCTGTCGAAGAGGCAAAGCCGACCAATGTCTACGCGGTCAGGAAGAGTTTTGTCACTGTTACCTAACATTTGCTGACCATCAAATAAATGCAGGTTCTAAAATTTCTGTGCATGTCTCATGAGTGTGCTTTGGAGTATCAATGATGTTTTCACTTTACCAAACTAGAAACCAAAAAAAGGTGAAAAGAACTGTCCGAGCCAGACAGAATCTCCAGCCAAAACATAACTGGTTTTGTAAGGCTGCCCTCTCCAAGGACTGCATGTTTCCTCTGAGCTCTTCGTCTTGCAAAATTCAACACCTCACCTTATTCACCCATTAGTGCCCCTTGTCTTAAGGTCTTGCCCTGCTCACCGAGAGTGGAAACAGTATTGAGTTTCCTTATTCTCCATTACACATTTCTTGGCATATAAAAGACACCAAATAAATTCTTGCTTACATAATTTTTGCAAATTAAAATAACGTATTTTCTACTACACTAGTGAAAGCTACATTACAAGAGACTGCATTGCACAACTTTCTCACATTCCAAACAACAGCTCAAACCCTTGTTCTGAGGACAAGTCCTTATTATCAATTTAAAGTTTTATTATTTAATGTAAAGATTTTACCTTAAAAAAGGTGCGCTTCTAATTGCAGACATCAGTCAACCCATGCCACATTGGCCTGTGGGTCTAAATGCAGCTACTTTACTAGTTCTATTAGTGTCCCGGGGCTGTTATCACAATGTCCTACACACTGGGTGACAGTAAATAACAGAAAGTTATTGTCTCTCAGCCCTGGAGGCTGGAAGACCGAGATGGAGGTGTCGGCAGGGCTGGTTCTTTCTAAGGCTGTAAGAAGAATCTGTTCCACGCCTCTTTCCTGGCTCCTGGGGGTTTGCGGGCAATCTCTGGTGTTCTTGGGCTTACAGCATTGTCACCAGATCTCAGCCTTCATCTTCATGTGGGTTTCTCTGTGTGTGCGTGTTTGTATCCAACTTACCTCTCTTTATAAAGACACCAATCACATGGGATTAGATCCAGTATGACACAAGCCTAACTGATTATGTCTGCAATGATACTATTTGCAAGTAAGGTCACATTCTGAGGTCTTGGGCTTCAACGTATAGATTGTGGGGGGGACACAGTTCACCCATAAACAGCAGTAAAAACCCACATTTTCTATTTCCCCCTACTAGTCTCCCTATCCCTGGTCCCCTGCTAAGTGTCCCCCAGGTATTTCAGGGCAAGTATTTCCAAGTGAATGGTGGTGTT